CAATACCGACAAGTGATTAATAAAAGTCAAAAGACCAAAGAGGTCACCTTAATACCAAAAAAAAAAAAAAAAAAATAGTGGAATTTAATTAGCAATCATGCTTCAAATTTAAGTGAAGTTGCATTAAAAGTTTTTTTTAATACTTGCATCATCTGCATCAAGTGAAAGAAATTGATTAACATTTGGATTTATTCATTCAAAAAATCATAATAAATTAAATGATAAACAAGTTAAAAAACTAGTTTATTTTTATTAGAATTTATGTATTTTATGATCTTTAAAGCAATCAATTGATTATAACTATAATAAAAACTTGGATAAATTTATTAATATTGAAGAGACTATTTATAGTAATGATGATATTAATGTTGAAGAAACAAATAAAGAAAATTATAATAATTTAAATTTGTTATATAATTCAGATTTAAATAGAATAGATAATAATAATAGTTCAGATATTGATAGTTTATATGAAGACTCAGAAAATAGTGAAGATAATTCTATAGATTATTAGTTAATAATATTTCATAAAAGGATTTTTATTTTATTATTTTATTATTTATATTTTATTTTGTATCTTTTTTTTATTTTAAATATATATATTATTACAAATTAAAATAAACTTAAGTTTAAAATTAGTAAAATTTACAAATAAGAATCTAAAAATAAAAATAATTATAAATAAAAGTTCAAAATAAAAATAATTACAAATAGAGATCTAATATTTAAAAATTATTACAAATAAAAGCCTGATATAATTATACATTTAAAAACTTATAATTTAACTTATTTGAAATAATTATAATAATTATTAATTGGTAATATATAAGAAGTATAATAATAATTAATTCATAATTCAAATATAACTTTTAATAAACAATAAAAAAGATAGATTTAATTTAGTAACTTATTATTTATGCTGTTAATTTATTTTATTAAAATTTTTTTAAAACTGTTCATAAATATTAAATACAAAATTACAGATAAGTATAATTTTTACAAAATTATAAAATATTTACTATTATAAGAATAATAATTATAAATTTACAAAATATTAAGTATTACAAAAAATTTTAGAAACCTATATAGTTAGTACAAATTAAATTATAAAATTAATAATTTAATACAAATAAAAAATAAAAAGAAATAAATAAAATTTAGTATTTACTTAAGAGTATATAAACAAAAAAGAAAATATATAATCTCTTATTAATTAAAATATATTAAATCTAATTGGTTCATATAACTTACTATACATAATAAATTTTATATGTAATTTACATGTAACTTACATGTAAGGTAAGTATGTAAGTTATGACTTTACAACCCTAGTTAAAGATGGTGGAATGAAGTTGATAGACTCAATGATTTTGAAAACAAATAATTTTTTATTTTTTGGTTTTTTAATAATATTGCTACTTTGATGTTATTCATAAGTAAGATTTTTTCATGAATAGAAATATGTGTAGTATTTTTTACAAAGACACGTAACTGTATTAGTAGTAGCAAGTGCTTGAAGATAGTAACAGGTTTTGATATTGCCTTTAAGCTCTGTAGTAATGCAGGTATTAGATTGTCTGTTAGCAGGTATTGGATGTAATATTTGTGACATATCTTCATAGATTCCAATACCAAAACTTTTTGGAAATTTTTTATAAAAATAATTCAAATCAATAGAGTCTAGTTCAAAGTTTACTGAGGTTGGCATTTTGAACTAAACTTCTTAAAAAACCAGACTTCTTTTGTTTAGTAGGATTTTGAGTTATAAGTTTTTGAAGTTTAAATACTCTTATAAAATTTATTACAAGGTAGGTTTTGTGTTTATAGGGGTATTGCTACGGCTTACTGCAAGTTGTAGCTAGTATGGCTAATATAGTTGGTATGACTAGTATAACACAAAGTTATAATTAGTTATATATTGTAGTAACTACTATGTAATAGAGTACAAAATTTATTTTTAGTAAATTAATACAAATTATTTTGTAACAAAGAAATATTTTTTTGGTTAAATTTAATTTACACAATGTAATATTAAATAAAACCAATTTGGAAAATGATTTAAGATTATATGAAAAACATGTAAGAGAGAAAATTTGAGGGTAAAGACAAAAGAATTTTTTTTTAAAAAAATAATAAAAAGTTGAAGTTGTTTTTTATTGTAGTTTCGTTAAATTTGAGGCTACAAGCTTCTTTTTAAGCTTGTTTTGATCGAAAGAGGTGCTTTACAACTTTTATTAGGACAGTATTGTGTATTAAAAAGTTAGTTGGCAAAAAATAATTAAAAGTTTAGTTACAGAGACCAAAGGCTGTTTTAGCAATATTAAACTGCAAGTTTGAAAGTTAGAAATCTGTAACTTTCAAGATATATGTAAATTTTGTGCTAAACAGATTTACTTAAGGCATCAAAGTTAGTTATCTTAATAAAATAACTAGTTATTAATGATTTTGTTACTAACAAATTTTTGTTATTTTTGTGTAAAAAGATTTACTGAAAGAGTTTTTTAAGATACTTTATTTAAAATTTTAAAAAAAAATATTTTTTGTTAAGAAATATAAATATCAAATATAAGAAAAATAAATATTAATTACTTATTTTTTTTTAATAAGTAATTAATTAATTAGCTAAACTAGTAATTTTTATTAGTTAGTTTTTTTTTTGGTATTAAGGTGAGGCCTTGCTCATATCTTTATTAGTAATTTTAGTTGTACATATTAATATAC